TCAAGATTTTGCTCACGGTTGTTCCTCTGCATTGAATAAGCATTGCTCACATCAGACTCTGAAGATTGAAGACTTTCTCCTTGAAAACCTTTTTTTTAAGACTTTAGTATTTAAACATGTTTGACTACATGTTTGACAAAGCTTCCTGATCAGCACTGGCCCATGGCAGGCAGACTGAGTCCCATCACTATTAAGATTGACAGTCTTTAAGTTGGTATATTGGTTTGGTTTGACTTTTGTGCTTCAGGGCACGAGGTCAGTCACCAGAGCGAGTGGGGTTCCTCTTTTGATGCGGCTTGTCAAGACTTTGGCCCTGACTTCCAGCAGGGTCAAAAGCCCGTTATGGTGGTTTTGTTGGCCACTTTGTTCTTTGTTGTCCTGATAGCGACTGGGGATGTGAATCAACCAGTCACTGGGGCAAAATGTGGTCCAGATACATATTTTAGTGTCGTCATCTGGAAGTGTGTGCTGTGGAATCCGCTGGAGGTCTATCTTCCCAATGGCCTCCCCCTGGGAACACAGACTTCAAACCATCCAAACAGACTTGAAAGATGTTTGTCTCCCACATCTAATCAGATGTGTCCTGGTGTCTTTTGCCCGGTGATCAAAGTGTCCCTGCTGCCAGCTTGGGGTTGTAAATGTTTTAACTTTCCAAGCAGGAGGAAGGAGATGAAAACCAGTTGTTCCTGCTGTTTCTTTGTTTAATGTCAACTGTGGCTGGTTGATCCAACATCCTAGACGTGTCTTTAAGTCATCGCAATAAATTGTTCTACTGCAAGGAAACTCATCTACAAGTGACGTAGATGCCCGTTGACTGTCAATAACAATGAGGCAAATTCCCAAAATTCCATCACAGGTTCTGCAGGTAACTCTTGCATCTCTTGTATAGAAGCAAAACTACTTTGCACCAATGACCATAAAGGGACAAACCAGGGCTTTTTGAGTATTTTAAACAATAGAGATGTTTGGTGCAGACCAAAGACAGCTTTTTTAGAACCTCACACCACCTGTAAGGAATGGTGGTGCAAATGTTAAGGGTGGGTTTACAATTTTACAATTCTACAATTTCATTTAGCAGATGCTTTTATCCAAAGCGACGTACATCTGAGAGCAGAGACAACACAAGCAAGGGTTTGCTTCTCTGCCTGAAGGACATCTTCTGGTCCTTGATTAAACTGAGATCTCAGGTCATCTATCAAACAGTTGAAACTGAACTTGTTGTCTTGTTATAGAAAAATATTGATGATAAACACAATAACAGATCCCCTAAGGAATTACTCAAAAAGAATTAATGGAGGGCAGATTTGAATCCCATTGAAATGTTGTTGACGTTGTGAATTGAATTTGGAAATGGTCAAAAATGTCAGTGAGCCAATGTCAAGTGGTAGATAATTATGCACCTACAAGATATAATTTAGCTAAAGACAACATTAGTAGCTTCTGAGTCCAAGTATCTAACTACATTTTTTTTTTCCTCTAGAAGAATATTACATCCATTACTATTTTTGTTGAATAAATGACCATGGATAAGAGGATCAAATGTTTGTTTGCTGTTCAAATATGTTTAAAAAAAAGTCAACAATTTTCATGAGAAGTGCTTATTTTTTCCACATGGCGTTATGGCTGACTGAAGATATGAACAATAAGTCTTACGCAGCTATGGATAAGAACATTTGAGGTAGCGAGTAAAAATACCATCCTCATGGAAAAAAAGCATGTTTGATAAGTAAAATATTTTTGAAGAGATGTGTTTTATTACATTTTCTTTGGCCTTGAAGGCAGAATTAAGCACATCTTCCGAGGTCATATTTGCTTTCATAACCTCAGGTCGGTTGGGGCTACTTTTTCAGAAGTGGAAAAACTGCGATTTGAGATGCGCCAATGCGTGCACATGCATCCACATGCTCGCAAATGCAGACACACGCGTATGCTAGCAAGGCTCCTGGGAGTGAGGGAACTGCAGACATTGTGGTGCCTTGCTCACTGTGGTCACCAGGGGACATATCGATCTATTAGAGACAATATTTTCACATGCTCACACTCTCAATGCAGTATGTCAATGCCACGATTAACATATTTTAGAAAATAGCCATAAAAGACCACTTCCTTAGAAAGCCTTTCCTCCCTGGTGATTTTTAATTTTTTTTTTCTATGACTCAGACAACATGATCGGTCTTGATATGGGAAAATTGCCCTTTATCTCGCTCTGAGTCCTTAAAGCCTGATGATAGACCTTACCCTGCATGAACTTATTCAAAGGCCTGAGCAAAAAGTTGGCAAAATACCTTGGATTTGAGCACTTATAGTTTCTCTGTCAGTAGTGAAATTGGCCATCAAGCTCCAGAGAGCTCGTGGCTCATCTCTTAGACTTATGTCTGCACACGTCCCGGTGGAGCCGCCTCAGTGCAAGTGTAAAACCCTGAAAGACATGGGGTGTTTGACATGACTTAAACTGAAATTGCAGAGGAAATCTTGAGTTTTGAAGGATTAGTAGATAAGGGTGCAGAAGTGGATCCATTCACACTGAAGATGACTCTGCAGCAGCACTGATTTTCCACTCTTAACTTTAAGTGCAGCGGGTGAGACGGCAACAATGCTTTCACAAATAGCTTTTACACTGTTTATAGATTTAAGGCACTCCAGTTTTTACAGTCTTTCATACGCCCCAACATGCTGCTTTTAACTGCCTCATTACTAAGCCCTACCCCCATTACTTAGTGTTCCATACATTTTCCATTCTCATAAGACAGTTTCAACAGGATCTGTTTTCAGCCTTATATTTCTTATCGACAATGACTAGTTTTGTCAGCTGAAATTGCAACTGATGCTTGCAGATTTTATCAGCTCTAGTGGCTGACTCAGCTTACGAGTTATAGTCCACGGTCTGGTCTGACTCAGCGGATGTAGACTGCAGGTGTAGGTCTGCTGCTGGCCACGCAATTCACGCAAGTTTCTTATCCCTTCCTGATATTTATGTGTTATAGTTTTCAACATCTCCTTCACAACAGGAACAACAACCACCTTTGGGCAGCCACCTACTCACTAAAAATATTAAGCAATGCTGAAAGTTTGGCTTGTGTTTTTGCTGTGAATTATCCATTTTAATGCTCACCTCCCTTAATGCAAATGTTCTGCTAAAACAAGTCTGTTAGTACTATTTTGTGTAAGAATCGTCAGTGCACTAGCCAATCAAAGACAATAGTGACTGGTTGAAATAAATACAAACACGTGAGAGCAGAATGATGGTGAGGTGCAGCCACACAGCACTGTGTCAGTACTAAAGAATATTCTGGTTATGGGAGACGAGTCCCAGTGTACCTTTGGAGACTTTCTATTTCTGTTCACATAGAAAGTTTTAACCCTCATTGTCATACTTTCCAAAGTACTTGAAAAGGTACATTTTTCAGCGACATCAGTCACTGTCAAACTAAGGACTTGTTTTCTTTGTCTTTGATCAGTGTAATCCTCCTCCATAGGAGTATTACCCGTTTCCAATAAAGAGCAGAGCTGCAGCAGTCAGTCCACACTCTGATAGCGTATCTCAGACCACCCACGCTGCTGGGAAATACTGCACAGTGGATGAAGGAGGTTGCAACCTGTCGCCCCACAAACTAATGTGACATGAAGTTTTTCCTTGGCTTTGGAAATAAAGCTTGTTATCAGTGTAGCTGTGGTAGGTAAGATAGTTAGCTTAACATGTGCAACACTCTCATCAGTCCTCACAGCTAGTCACAAGTGTCACTGTTCTAAATTTATGAGGATCTTGTCGTTCTTGGGAAAATACATGTTGCTCCTGTAGATCACACCAGATTTTACTTACATATACACACTTTCTTACACCTCATGCACATCTTTCTCACTCACATGTATATGCTCCCATCCTTCTTACTTGTTTACTTTTAATCTATGTTATGTTTATGTGTCTATTTGTGTCTGCAATGTGTATTTGTTCCTTCTGGCACCTCTTGGCCAGGCCATGTTTGCAAATGAAAGATTTTTACCTGCTAAAATAAAGGTCCAAAAAATAAAATAAATAAATAAATGTGCGGAGAAACTGTAGGAAGAATGAACATGTGAGAGATAAAGGTATGTAGAGATATTACAGATGATGTGTATTAACGTTTCACAAAGAATAACCTGACATGTATGTCTTCTGAAAATGCTTCATTTTGTACCTTAAAGTGTCAGAGGACAAAAGGAGAACACAGTAGATTTATAATACTCATTTAATATTGTACAATATTTTCTGTTCACCATGAAAACCTATTAGATACAATTCATTATGTGGTTCTTGGTTTTCTACTAAATTGCCTTTCTAATTATTATAATAGCTGCTTTTCTGGTTTCTAAGCCTCCCTGCAGGTGACAGCCAGCAGCCAGCGTTCACATTCAATTAGTCACATACAATTAGACTCATTGGTGTACTGATTAGATTTTGGTGGTCAAAGGTCAAAGGTCGAGTTGCTTGTGACCTCACAAAACGTGTTTTGTCCATTACTCAAGAATTCACAAGCTAATTATGACAACATTTCACACAAATGTCTATTAGGATAAGATGAAGTGGCATTCCATATCCAAAGAGGTCAAAGGTTAAGTCGGACATTTTTTACGCTTGAATAAAACATGAGAAATGCTTCCTACAATGACCAAGTGCCAAATATCAAGACATTTTTATGGCTCTATATATATCTACTGTCCTCCTCCCTAGGTGCTCTGTATAATCTATGACGATTTGGAGTATTGGGCAAACATGACTTTTAAAAGAAGAATGGAAACATTTTTCATCGTATCCCCATCCCCTTCCTGTCCATCGTTTCATCCAGATCCCATGCTGGTGATTTTCCCATACTGAAATAGACTGAACTGCTGTCAGCATCCATGTATAATGCATACCTTATCCTTCAATCTCTCTTTTTTTTTTAATCTAAAATTGAGAATCTATCACTGACTGTCGTGCGGTTTAATGATCACCAAGGACACATCAATGAGGACGTTGCATGCAACATGTAAATAATTTATTTCAATACAAATGTTACATACATTTGTTGTTTGTTTTTTTTAAATAAATACCACAGGACACCACATATTGTCACAGGCTCCAATACCTTAACAAACAGTGACAAGAACTTGTGCGAAAATAGCTTGCAAACATTTAGTAAACATTCAGCTGAGTGACAAAGACTTTTTTTTTTTTTTCACTCTGCGCACAGGAAAAGTTCACATGTGATAGGTTCTCATACAACAGCTGAAGCAATATTTAACCATCATAGAAAATTCACATTTACAAGTGTCCACCTTGAACAGCATCCGTGCCGAGATGCTGCAGTGATCCTTTTCTCATGACGCTTTATTTGGAGTTGCAGAACTTCTCACAGAAATAGTATGTTACAAGGCAGGGGGGGGAAACAGGCAAAATAGTTTGTACTTCATGAGCTCAAATGTGCTCTTAGTTGTACAAAGTCAGATGTTTCATGAAAGTGCTATACAGTGCGACTTTAAGTAAGTTAACAGCTTAATCTAAATCAAGTGGGAGTTGTTTTGTGGGGCAAAGTGACTCTTATTTAATAGTGGGGACTGTGAGGACAGTGTTGGCATTGCCCCACGTAAACTTGGATCACATTCAAACCTATCAATCCAAGACGCATGTTGTATAATTTAATGCGGAGTGTACTGCGTGATATGTGCACGCTACATTATAAAATATCCTCTAAGACTTGTCTGAAACCCATAATCCACTTTTAAAAGACCCCTTTGTTTTAGCTGAGTCAGTGTAACCATACCAGTGGGCAAAATAGGCAATCTGGGACCAGCCATTAGCGGGAGAACTGAATGTACATTGTCTGCATCAGTAGGCATGGTTCCAAACCATCAGCTGTGCTTGGAATGTGGTAGTGTCAGCTAATCATTCAAGACTCATTGCACATAACAGTGTTGTGTCCTCCAGCACAGGGGAGGTGAGGGCATGAATTACATGCCTTATTATACAGGCGTATTGATGAAACAGTAACCATTAATAACTCCGAGACAGCAGAGATGCAAGGATAGGCCACTGCCAGGAGGGAGCAGTGTGGATATATAGTTCATAACCTCCTCCACTTAGGCTAAAACAGATCACAAACACATCACCACAAATATAAAGCAGACATGCAAACCATCGCTTGCGCAGTGCCTCTAAAATGACATATGTTTTAGATACCGACTTATTTTAAAACCAGCATGGACTGAATTTAAAGCCACTGCATTAATTGATTGTGAGCGAATAAATACAACATATCAAAAAAAAAAGAAAGTTGGTCTAGAATCCTTTGTGCTTTGTGCATGCTGTACAGTGAAAATGTCTAAAAGATGCCAGGGAATATTTGTTTTGACATTCAACCCCTTGCATGTACTTTGCTGTAAAAAGTAAAAAGAAAAACAGAGAAAGATCAACATAGTGGAAAGCTTGTTTTTCACATGGCAAACACTGACGTATGAGGACACCATATTTACGTCTATTCCTAAGGTCTGTCACAACAGCACTGACCAAACCCAGCGATACAGTACATAGAGATTCCTCTGAGAGAACAAAGTTCACAGTTTTGATGGCGTCACCTGACCTTATCCGTGCAGAGGCAATGCGACATGCACTAAAACACAGGTCACTAACACCGATTTAGACTGGCAGAGAATCCCCGGTCCCCCCCCTCCACCTCCCGGCTTCAGTCGCTACATTTAGCATGCTGTCACTTTGATCAGAACATACTAGAGACAGCCAAACTGACGAGGGAAAGGGGTTACATCTGTGGCCACGCCTTCATTACCCCTCTTGATACTAATGATCTTGCAAGTCATTTAGAGTGGGGGGAAAGTGGCTGATTTGTCCTGAAGAGTAAGTGCTCATCGTCCACTAATGCTCGCCTCAGTATAAAACTGACATTTCCAAGAGCCTGCGATCTCAAGATGGGCGATAAGAAAGAAAGTCTAATTTCAGGTTAGCCCTTTGGAGCTCATCAAAACCTGCAAATTGGAAACTGTATACTTGGTAATCTTCTAATCTATTTCCATGTTGTTTTTCAGAGGGAGTTATCTGATTCTGCAGCTAAACAGCAGAGATAATTTATTTATTCGTGTTTATTGGGCTGGGCTCAGCTGGATTCAGGGCGTTTCCTGGAGACATCAAGAACTGTCTGCAGAAGAGCGACCAAAACTGACTGAAACAACTTTCACAGCGCTCTTCTGTGGACCCCTGAGTGTCTTATCTGAATGTTAAACGAGTTTGATTCAGACATCCTCAGACACTGAGGAGACTCTGGGAAATGTCAGGGAGTGGTGACAAAGGTGCACTATGCAGGAGCACTATCTCATCTCTGTTTATTGGCCTGGGTAGACACCAGAACCATGTCTCGGGCCTGGAACTTTGTTATCACTTGGCTATTTTGACGCACTGTTTATTATTACGTGTGGTTTGTACCCTGGTGCCATGACTGAGGAAACGGCTTCTCTGGTTTCAGTAAACACTGTACACGCTGAAACGCAGCAACCACAAGATTTAATAAACAAACAAGGCTTGTGCAAAGAAAGGGACAACTGTTACTGTTGCATAGAAGAAAATGAATGATTGATAGTTTTTCTTACGCTTCTCTGATGGCTGTATGATGCAACAAATAGTGATCTATATGTCACATAAAAGTTGACACAATGCAAGATGTGACAGGCTTGGGCTGTGCATAGCATAAAAAAAATGTGCATTGGAATTCATATAAGTAACAGCTGTAAGCTTTAAAGGTCAATACTCGGGATTAACCACATTATCCATAATGCCATCGGCTTTGCAATGAAAGATATTGGATATCTTAAGGGCTGATAAAAGAATCCGATTGATAGAGCGTACACAAACTTGCAAGTTTTATCTCATGACTAACTCTGGATGGCCACAGGCGTTTCTCACCAGAGATGCAGAGTACTGTGAACATTCATATCTCTGGTGCTATCTGCTGGAAACAGAAACGCAAAAGCAACAGCCTGCAAAAGACTGCAGCAGGGAGCAGGGCCTCACAACATTGCTGAGCAGTGAGGAGAGATAGAGTGAGGTTTGGCCACACCTGCTGCTGATCATCTTTCACACGTTGGCAATCATTTAAAAGAAAGAAAATAAAAATGCAAACTAACAATCTTACAATCTTGGGTGACTTGGAATGTATTTCCTGAAGCAAAGCACCAAAGATATTTTTAATCTTTTCATACACCTCATCCATTCTCTGATGGAAACAAGTTACTTGATATCCGTGCCAAATTGGTGTGCTCAATAGAAGCTGACAACCTCCCGCAACTTTGAAATTCAAAAACATTTTTCATGTCAATAACAATTATGGGGTTTTCTTGAAGAATTCAGGGTTAAATATCATGCCCATGAACTCAGCTGCAGCCAGAGAATTGTCAGGTATACAATCCACAGCCCATTTAGTAAAGTAAATAAACAGCTGAGATACTGCCCCGGGGTAATCTCCTGGGGAGAGCGAGTTAATGTGAATGTCAGTTAAGATACTTATATTGAAAAAAAAGTGATGAGGTAGATGTAAAGTCAATATAATCAATGTAACAAAAAGGAATAGTGATCTACCTACAGTATTTACTCACTGTGATTGAACAGGGAAAAGAAATGCTTTCCTCAGATGAACATGGTTTGTACAGTTTCTTTACAGAGATTCTGCCAGTCACTCTGACTGGCCTTACCTTCATCAGTCATTTGGGGAAAAAAAAAAGAAAAAAAGGTTTATGATAGCAGTGTAAACACATGTGGATTTCCCTGCTCACAGAAGTCTCAGAGCTCCAAGTTTACAGGGCAGTTGTTACAGTCGATAGGCTTTTGCTGCAATTCCCGTTTGGATCCACTGCTTTGTCCACAGCACCACCGACCACGTCTTCCTTCCCAAGACACCCTTCATTGGCATCACTGTCTTCTGAGCTGTTCTTACTCCTCCCCTGCTGCTCGCTCTGCCAGCTGTGCCTGCTGTAGATGTATCCATTCACGTGTCCGGGGGTGCTGAGGCGATTCCTCTTCATGCAGAGGATTTCTTTGAATGCATACCTGAATTCAGGACTCCGGCAGTAAATGAGCGGGTTAAAGGCAGAGTTCGCATAACCTATCCAGTTGAGTATCCTAAATGTGAGGTCAATGTTCTCCACCTCCCATATGGCCACCACCACATTGAGCAGAAAGAATGGCAGCCAGCACAGAGTGAAGATCCCCATGATGATACCCAATGTCTTTAGGGCTTTGTGTTCCCGCAGGCAAAACTTTACCTTTTTGTGGACACGCCCGTTGTTGGCCTCTAGAGATTTTAAGTTGCTGTTGTCGCTATTATGAAAACGTCCAACGCTTTGGTCGATCTTCTTCAGCTGGTTCTTGGCCTCCTGGAAAACGCGGCTGTAGACAAAAACCATGATGACCAAAGGGATGTAGAAGGAGATGATGGAGGAAGTGATGGCGTAAACCATGTTGGTGTAGAACTCGCAGCAGTTACTGTCCTTAATGCAATCCTTGGCTTTCTGATCATCTGATATCCACCACTTCATGTGGATGGGCAGGTACGATATCAAGCCGGCGATGACCCACACCAGCACCACCACAATGCGAGCTTTGCACTTGGTCAGCATCGACTGGTAGCGGAACGGAGAAGTGATGGCCAAGTAGCGGTCTATAGCTATGACGCACAGGGTCTCGATGCTCGCAGTCACACAGAGCACGTCAGTCGCAGTCCAGAAGTCGCACCAGAAACTACCAAAGTGCCAGGTCTTGAAAATGATGTAACAAGCACCGAAAGGAACCACGATGAGACCCATGACGAGGTCGGCACAGGCCAGGGATGTGATGAAACAGTTGGTGACATTTTGGAGACGCTGGAAGCGGGCGATCGCTGTTATGACCAGTATGTTGCCAAAGACGATGCACAAAACCAGTAAAGACATGATCATGCCCAGCAGGATCATGACTGCCTCACTATAACCTTCCTCACTCTCAGTTGGGTCTGATGACGAGTTCATCTCTGCACTCACATTGAGGTACACCGGGGGGGTTGTACTTCCCATCTGAAGAGACCATATGTGGACAACACACACACACACACAAAGAAGCGGATTTCATTATTTAAATGCAAAAACTGCCTGGAAATAATAAACACTGTATTCATAGAAATTAAATTTGCATTTAAACCTTGCACTGACTAAGAAACTAAAATTATACCACCAAAACCAATAAAACATTGCAACCTAGGAGGCTCCAGCAAGTTTTAAAAAAACGTGTCAAACAAGTCAGACAGAAATATAAGAACAAACCTCCACAGGTAGTTGTGCTGCTTCCTGCCTCCCATACAAAGTAAAAATATCACTGCTCAGATAGTTCCTTCAAAATAGTGAAGATCACATGTCCTTCCTACTTTCTGTTGTTCTTGATCTCCGTACGTCTCACTAACTCGGTCCCTCAGTTGAACAGTGTTTCTTCTAATGTGTCTCCCAGGCTATTTGTCAGAGCCCTTATAACATGCAGTGATGACATCATGGTCAGTGCTCAGCCAATCAGACAGCCAGCCTGCGGAGGGTGCTGAGAGCTCTCAGGAGTTTGAACACACTGTCCCTGCAGTCGCTGCTGCAGGGCTGCATGAGACACAAGCTGCGAACACAAGGAAACGCTTCTGATATGGCTTGTATTTTTTAAAAAGCATGTGCTAAATTAGTTTTAGAATGTTTTGTGTGTAGTCCAGTGGTGCAGTCCCGGCCCTGAGGGGTGTTTTAAACTTCTCTCCTGTTAGTCTGGATTGTATTAAAAGCAGGTGAAGCTTTTTTTTTTTGACTCTTTGTAAAGGTTGGGTTCACAGGTTTTCCAACTGGCAAGTTAAACCAACACCACCGTATGATCTATGATTTTCTGGGAAGTTTGAGTTTTATCACTCCTCTTGTCCTGACAAAACCTTGGCGTGCTAGTGTGTTATTTGTTGCCATAATATTTTACCTTTTTAACATAAAAATGTGCACTACAGCACAAACTATAAAAGCAGAGTGAGTCATCGCAGATACATTCAAATAAAACACTTATGCTTATGTGATGCTTAGGATTAATGTCTAAAGGTTAAACTAGAAAATACTCCCTCCTATTTCTGGTTTGACTCTGCACCCGTGGCCCTGCAGCTTGACACCAAAAACCTCTCACACTCAAAATAGAAAATATGTTTTCAGGATTCAGGACAAATTTGCATTGCATGTGAAGATTTGCAAAGGCTTCCTAATAAAAACATTCAGCTAGTCATTGGGAAGTTTCTCTTTATCTGGAAACCTATTCAAATTCTGAATAAACTGTATTATCTATGTGTTAGGCAAACATAGAGCTCTGAGTTGGAACCAAAACTGTGGCACAAACTGATGAAAAAGAGGAACTGATCAGCAACGGTAGGATGTTTTCTTTAGCCCTGAGTCAGCTTGACAGTTCCTCTCTAAGTAACCATCACTATGTATAGATATTGTTTTCTGCTCAAACATAGCAGAGTATGTATATAAGGAGAAAGCAAGTTAAGATCTTATTTAAATCGAGAGCTAAACTAAAATACATGGTGAAAGCTCGTACATGCAAGTCATCAAAAACGCCTGCGCTGTAGATGGAGTTTTCCAGTCAGAATTTATTCTATTTCTGTCCTCATGCGAGACTACTGCAGTGAAATAATCAATGTTGATTCAGACATTGCACGTCAATACACAAACGCGTGTCAGGCGTGCCTTTGTTGTACAATAATTTTGGTGGAGCTCTTTTACAATAATCACCACTCGAGGCAATTTTGTTGAAATACAGTACAGCAGGAGATCAAACCAAGATTTTGAATGCCATCCGCATTATGTTAGAACATGCATCACAAACGGGCCTCTGAGGAAATGGATTTCACTTCAATGTGGGTGTGTGTGCTTGTGTGATACAGGTCTATGCTACGCTCACTGAGGGGAGTGATGATGGTTTCCAGAGCTCTGACCCTTCAGTGAATGCAGACGCCAAAGGCACTGTGCGCCTTCCATGTACTCCACAATGAGCTCTCACAGACAACATATGACTCATGACGCAAGAACAAATCCAACCAATGGCTGCAATGATATCAATCTAAATACTCAGCATTCATACGAATGTAAGAAATTATTTTTTTATAACACAGGCTTTTAACATTAATAGTCCAGACAGCCATGCATCACCTCCTGCTATTATTTTTTATGCTGCTTTTGAAATGATCCATCCATCCAAGCACACTCACATTCACACCTATGGACAATTTAAAAACCACCAATTAACCTCAACATGTTTTTGGACCTTGTGGGAGGAAGTCAGAGAACCCTGAGAGAACCCACGCTGCACGGGGAGAACATGCAAACTCCACACAGAAAGATCCCGGGTGTCCTTACCGGGACGCGAACCGCCGACCTTCTTGCTGCGAGGCAACAGTGTTACCAACTACGCCACCTTGCAGCCCCTTTTAAAAACTAATACTAACTTATAATGCCCGTATTGTGGAGGTAAATGAATCCATCTTTTTAGGAAAACTCTCACTACTCAATGGGATTACCATAAAATGTGTTACAGATATTTATTGTGTGAATTCTGCTGATCTTTGTGACCTTTTGACTTGTTAAACACTTTGTTCCATGACAACTTACACTGGCACGTTTCCATTAACATGAATATGTATGTTGCCAGAATTAATTCAAATGTTTTCATGACCTTCAGACTTGTCTTCCTATGGTTAGTCTGAAATTTTTACTAAAACATAAAAAAGATGAATATGTGTATCCACACATTCCTCTGAAATTGAGCAGCATATATCTTTACTCCCTCCAGGACTAAAACTTTACATTTTGAGCTTCTTTCTCTCATGTCAGCGAGGTGAAAAAAACAAAGACTGCCATGAAATATGCTGAGCACACTAATCCTCCACACTGAATGTACTCATTTGATTTCAGTGAGCCCCACAACTTTATCTCTTGCACAACACATGACAAGCCCACCGTGTTTAGCTGCACTGCTGATAAGTCGGTACGTTATCAGGACCTTGCAACACATACAGTAGGATCGTGGCCGTATGTTAAACACTGCAGACCTCAAATGTCTTGTTTGTTGCATTGCCATCTGAAAAGACTTTGCGTTTGTCTGCTTATACTTCACAAAATGTTTTTAAAAAGTAAAATAAACTGTAAAGACTTGATCAAATCTACACCCTTACATAATCCGTTTATTTTCATAGAAGGGCCTCCTTCAGTGTTATCTGCTGATGTTGGCTTTGAGCCCTGAGCTCCTTTATGTTTGCTACTTGGAGTACATAGAATAGAATAGAATAGAATAGAATAGAATAGAATAGAATATAGTAGATTGGAGTAATTCAGTATTATTCATTTGTATGCATCTGGTCCCAGTCGGTCTGTTTACTGGCTGACTGTGAGGAGACTCACATTCTCATCTCAGCCAACTTCTGCACGATAAACTTCACATCACTCCAGTTTAGACAAGCAGTGTATATGCTAAATGTAATTTCTGTTCAGTGTTGTGCTTTGGAAAATGCAAGTCCTTATGTTCAATTAATCATGACTGGTTTCCTCTGTCTGTGACATCTGTCTTCCTGTATCCTGTCACTTCTGTGCTGAACTGTTTCACATTTGGATAACTTTTTAACTGTCTCAGATCATTTTGTTCTCACAAATTGTCTCTGTTCAGTCAAACACTGTTATAATAAATCAATCTTCTGTCCTCGCTGTTTCCTTCTTGTTTCCCACGTTTATTCTTCTTCATAGAAAGTTGTGATGTTGACCTGATGACTCCCACATGCTGCTCCCACTTCCCAACACCATATTTTTCCTGTAATCTGTGAGGAACAATACCTGGAGGCATTGTTCCTGTAGGGAAAGGTTTCGGGAGCATGAGAGGAAATGAGAGGGTCTAATTTCTCTCTTTCACTTGTTCTCCTAAATGTCAAACGGTTATACTGAGAAGAAAGGCAAAGCCAATGTCCTTTTAAATGCACAAATAATTGATTCTTCTTGTGTCCGGACTTCACCTCTCCAGCAAGTTTCGTAAAGTTCAGCTTGGTAGTTTTTGCACAAGTCAAAAAACAAACATGTAGACAAATGAAAACACAAACAGCCAAAGCTAATATAGTTTCTTGCTGGAAGTTACAAGAGAAGATTGACACCACTCTCACAGCCGTACACTAGGACAAAATACATTTACAGGCTAGAATTATTGTCAATTCCAGTCATCGACAGTGGACAAAAAGGCAAAAAAAAATTATATTAAATTCAGAACAAGCTCTTCTAATTGAATGCGATGATGTGAAAAAAATAATAATAATAATTTTCTCTTCTGCTGACTGTTCAGTCGTGTCCTGTTCATTCAATCTCTGTCTGATTCCAGGAATTATAGTTCTGGTCAATCATGTTCTTATTTAATTCTGTAGAACAAAGACCTCCCTCTGGGGAGTAATCCTGAGCATGGACCACTAATTGGTTCTGTGGTGAAGGCCTCCAGGGGACTGCGGATCGGTTCCACCCAACAATGAATGGATGTGTGACCATCGAAAAACCAATCAAATATTCAATGCCATTTGCACTTTCATGTAAACATATTTGCAAAGTGTGTTCTTGCTGCCAGTGCTTAGCATCCGAGCTGTGGTTCACACAATTATAAACAGCAGAGCAAAACAATTTTGTCTATCTTAAATAGATGTGGCCATATATAGACTAAACAGCTACTGACCGGGTGTACAAGTCATTGTTCACTCAGGTTTCGCCTTGATAAAGTTCAGACGGAGGAAGAGGTTGTAAAAACACTTTACTGTGCTATTCAACGACTTTTGGCCCGTGGCTTCTAGAGAGAGCTCAGTATATACAAAGCATAAATAAAAAATGTCTTTATGAGGGTCTGACCAATGTAACACCTATAGGTTACAGGATGCAGTTATGTTTTACTGTGGGAACATAACGGATTGCCCTCTTTAACAGCTTGTACATGCGCAAGGATTCAATTCACCTGCAATTATTTTTCTAAGTAAGAGTTCCAATACGTCACCAATTGTAAAGATTTCTTTTTCTTTTTTTTTTTACCTTTACTCAATAGGACTATGTGGAAGGACGGTAAACGCAGCAGAGCGAGAGCAGGGGATTGACATGCAGCAAATGGTCCGGCGAGCCGGGAATCGAAGCAGGAATCCACTGCTCAGAGTGTATGTGTCCGTTTGGTATGCACCCCAAGCACTCGGCTATCACTTCCCCGCATAGGCACGTAATGCTGATAAAAATGATGTCCATACCAGCTTACAGTAAACTCACTGTAGCCGTTGGCAGAGAGCAGAATTCTTTCTTTGTTTAGTCTCTTGGGACTCACTTTTTTTTTGTCTGTCTTATTGATCAAAAAGGAAACAGTTACAGACAGAATTAGGCTC